ATCTCGGCCACTTTCGCTTTGACCACACTCTTTTCGATATACAATAAGGTGACACTTCTGCTCTTACAATCCACCAAATTCTGAGCAATTTTCGATAGTAGATCCGCCCGACCATTCTCTCCTCAAGGGATTTTGTATCAGCTCGAATGAATCGAACTCTTCTTTCAACTTCCTCATCTCATCCACATAATTTTGCATCCGGTCCTCCTTGACTTCAAAAACCTCCTGAAATTGCCCGACCACCAGTTAAGAATCAGAATGCAACTGCAATTTTCGAGCTCCTCGCGCTTTGGCTAAACTTAATTCTTTGATCACTGCCTCATACTCGGCCTCATTGTTGGATACCTTGAACCCCACTTTAGCCGCAAATTCCAAGTAATCGCCCTTAGGAGAGTCAAGGACAATTCCCAATCCTGCCCCGCTTCGTGCCACAGATCCATCGACAAACAACTGCCATATTCCTCCACTCTCCTCCTCGACCTTAGTGCCTTCTTGAATAAAATCGGCCAGTACCTGCGCCTTTATGGCCCTCCGCCACTCATACGATAAAGAGTGTTCACTCAGCTCAACTGCCCATTTCACCAATAGACCAGAGACCGATGGTCGGCCAAGCGTTTCTCCCAGCGGCATGTTTGTTCGCGCATTCACTTTATGGTTCAAGAAATAAGGTATCAACTTTTGAGCCGTTACGACCACAGCCAATGCACACTTCTCGATCTCTGAATACCTCATCTCTGCCCCCTGCATCACCCTACTCATGTAGTAGATAGAAAATTGCATTACCCCTTCCTCCCGTAACAACACCGAACTCACAGCCCTCTCTCCAATAGAAATGTATAGCACCAACTCCTCGCCCTGTACGGGTTTAGCCAATAGGAAAAGGTTAGCTAACACCCCTCGCAGCTCTTCAAATGCCCTCTGTGCCTCCTTCGTCCATTGAAATTTCACACTCTTCTTCAATGTTTTGAATAACGGGCCACTTCTCTCCTCCATCTTCGATATGAAATGACTCAGCCCCGCAATTCGACCAGCTAAAATCTGTACGTCCTTAACATTTGTCGGCGGCTTCATCTCCATTACGGCTCCATCCTTCTCGGGATTCACTTCAATACCTCTCTTGGTCACTAAGTAACCCAAGAATTTTCCCGATCTCACCCCGAAAGAGCACTTAGCTAGATTCAATTTCATCCCATACCTCCACAATGTTGAGAACGTTTCTTTCAAGTCTCGCACATGGTCCAACTCCTCCTTGCTCTTCACCAACATGTCGTCCACATACACCTCCATGTTCCTTCCCAGTTGCTCCTTGAAGATTTTATCGACCAACCTCTGATACGTGGCGCCTGTATTCTTTAGGCCGAACGGCATGACCACGTAGCAATAGGTTCATCGACTCGTCACAAAACTCACCCGCTTCCTGTCTTCTCTCGCCAAGGGAATTTGGTGATATCCCTGGGAGGCATCCATCAAGCTCAGTAATTCGCACCCTACCGTTGAGTCAACTAGCTGGTCGATTCTGGGCAGTGGGTATAAGTCCTTTGGGCATGCCTTGTTCAGATCATGGAAATCAATGCACATTCTCCATTTTTCCTCCACCTTTGACACCATCACTGTATTCGATAACCATTCGGAGAACTGGATCTCCTTGATATGCCCTGCTCCCAATAGCTTCTCGACCTCCTTCTCAATGATTTTGTCCATCTCCTCACCATGGTGCCTTCTTTTCTGCTTCACCGGCCTCACACTGAGGTCGATATTCAGCTAGTGCTCGATCACCTCCGCACTTATCCCCGTCAACTCCTCCACTGTATAGGCAAAAATGTCAACGAACTCTCTAACCAGATTGACCAGCCTCGACTGAACATGCTCCTCCAGGTCCTTCCCGATTCTGAATTTCCTCTCCTCACACCCCTCGATCATTTGAATCTCCTCCACTTCTCTTCCTGGCTGGATATTCATTTTCTCCTTACCCTTCTCCATTCTTGGTTTATCCTCTTTTGACCTCGACCCACCTGGTCGATTAATCTCCTCCTCCTTCGACTTGGCATGTCGCTTCGTTAGCTGCTTGTTATTGCTCACCATTGTTTGGTAGCAACTTCTCGACGTGAGTTGATCCCAGGCAATCTCTCATATGTTTTCGCCCACAGGATACTTGATCGTCATGTGGTACGTGGATACAACTGCCTAGAACGCATTCAAACTCGTTCGCCCCATAATGATATTATAAGATGATTCAGCTCCTACGACCACAAACCTCACCATCCGCACCTTCCTCAGTTCTCCTGTTCTCAATGCTACCGGCAAACTTATCTCGCCCATCGGCATCACCTCTCCTCCATTAAAACCATAAAGTGTCGTGGTCACCGGTTCAGCTCAATATTCAACTCCTTGTTAATTTGCACAAAACAGTCATAGAACATAACATCTACCGAACTCCCGGTATCAATAAACACCCTCTTCACGTCAAAGCCTACGACCTCCGCCATTATCACCAAAGCATCATTGTGTGGTAGGACCACTCCCTCGGCATCCTCCGTCTTAAAACTTATCACTGGCATACGAGCCATAATCCCCACCTCCTCTCTCTTCCTCTTCACAGCTCGAGCATGCTCCTTCCTGGCCCTATTCGAGTCACCATCCATTGGCCGTTCAGAAATCATGTAAATCGTCCTTCTCTTCATCAGGGCTTCTCTTCTCTGACCCCCCTTTATCTCTTTCTCTTCTCGGCTTTTTTCTTCGACCATCTCTGCCATCTCCTTCCTCATCTCTATCACTCCTCTCTTCCGAGCCCTCCCTACACCTTCTCTTTTCTTTCCCTTTTACCCTATCGTGATACACAAACTCTTTCAGATATCCAACTCGAATCTACCTCTCGATCTCATCGTTTAAATGTCTACAGTTCTCTGTGGTATGACTGTAATCTCGGTGAAAACGGCAATAAATATCTGACCTAGGTCGAATTGGGCCTGTAAACCTCGTCTTCCGCCAAGTCACATCCTCGCTCGACATCTTCTGCTCCATGGCCTCGAGTACCTCTGTCATATCCTTCCTCATGGGCGTAAAAGTGTGATACCTCTGCCGTTCGAACAACATCAGCCTCCTCTGCCACTCATCCCTTTTTTCCTTTTTCAAATATCGACTCTCTCTTTGAGGTGATGCCCTCTTCTGCCCACTCCTCTTAGGCGAATTTCTCCTCGGAGATCTTCCCCTTTGCGGGATTTTCTCCTTTTTTGGCTCTGGTTGAGCCACCCCTTCCAGCTTTGCAAACTCCATCTCCATCTCCTCCAAATTGATGTACTTGCACCACTTCAGAACATCCTCATATGATCGAGCAGGGGTCTTTTCCAGGGAAGTTCAGCAAGGCCCTGCTCGAAGGCTCCTTATCAATCCTCCCGCCTTCACCTCATCTGAAGCCGAGTGCACCTCCAAACACGTCTGATTATATCAAGCAACATACTTCCTCAATGACTCCTTCTCCCTCTGTCTCATCGCCATCGTCAAATACGTCTTCTCATGCGCCACCGCGCTCGAATACTTATTGGTAAGCTTGCCGACAAAGTCCTCGAAATCCGCAATCGACCCAAAGGGTAACTGGTGAAACCAGTCGAGTGCTCCTCCGCGCAAGGTCGATAAAAATTCCCTGCAACTGCTGGAACACGCCGACGAGGCGGTCCTCCCCACGGATCGATATCGGATACCAAACATGTACATACATGATTTCGAATAAACCTAAGCATGCTTCTAAAGGACGAACAGAGATATACCTTTCTTTAAGGCTTTGATTAGATCTGAGCGATCTTCTAGTCTGTGTCCCGACCACTCTTGGACGCCGGATGGACGACGATCCTCCAAAAGGTTTGAAAGAAGCGGCCTGCCGTCGTCTTTCTCGAACCCTTCTCGTTACTCTCTCAACGATGGTGGCTGGAGTGTCTCACGAATTGCTAGGGTTTGAAACGTGGGAGGTCCTCTTTCTTTTTATAGTGGTCCTTGGGCCAGACTAGGGATCTCTTAGAAGGTATAGGGTTTGGGCTCCTTACAGGCCCAAATTCTTATGTTCAGCCCAGAACACAATTTGGCCCGTAAATATTAATTCATTCCACTAGAGAATTAATATTGCACTATTTCTATTAGACTCGATATAATTCCCCGTGTTTAAGATATCGCACGTCCATTAATTATTAAAGCTTCTGACTGCTTTAATTAATTAATATCTTTTATTCCTTAAGTAGTACCACTCAACCTTATTATCGTATGGATTAAATCCACCTGCAGGGTTTATACGATAATCCTTATGAGTTCCTTAAGGGGACGTCATCAACCTGGATGTCCAGGACACAGTGCCCTAATGCCAATAAATAGATATCATGCAGATAATGTTGTTACCCAAGATACGGAGCATATTGAACCAATACTTGGTCCTCACCCATGGTAAGTCAAAGTAACATACAAATATCCCATGTATCTAATTACCACAGTTAGGGTTAAGAATTAGTAGAGTCACCGAGACCTAGGTTTTCATTATAGTCAGAATAGAAGAACACGTCTCAACTGTGATCCATTCAATGCGACGCAGCACACTAGTATAAACTAATAGCCAAGACAAGCTATATCCAGTTTATACTACAACCTAAACCGATAGTTATGTCCACAACTATCTCAGTTGTGAATACCATTTATATCTTATAAGGGACCGACAATGTAATCTTCTGTGTGACTACTAACACACTACATTGTCTACAATATAAGATAATTGGACGTACAAGCAATCATAAGGAATGCAACAATGTGAAAACATTTATTTCAGTCAAATGGGAAATCGAATAAATACATTCCAAAAGCTCACATAAAAGTTTGCTTTACTGTATACCACAACAATCTCCCACTTATACTAAAGCTAAACTTTTAGTATAAAACACATGCCATAACAATTCTCCCACTTATACTCAAAGTATAGCTGCAACATATCGTAAACCAAGACCCTCTACGTGTTTCTCGAAGACATTAACAGTCAGAGTCTTCGTGAAAGGATCAGCTAGGTTATCCAACGATGCTATCTTCGTCACAACCACATCTCCTCGTTTTACGATCTCTCGTATAAGGTGGTACTTTCTCTCGATGTGTTTACTGGCCTTATGTGCTCGGGGTTCTCTCGAGTTTGCGACTGCACCAGCGTTGTCACAATAAATTGTGATACACCTAGGCACGCTCAAAGATACCCCTAAGTCCAGTAAGAAGCTCCTGAGCCAAACAGCCTCCTTTGTTGCTTCTGAAGCAGCAACGTATTCGGCTTCCATGGTAGAATCTGCAATGCATTTCTGCTTCACACTCCTCCATGAGATCGCTCCGCCTCCCATCATAAACACATAACCCGAGGTCGACTTTCTCTTGTCTCGATCAGCTTGGAAATCAGAATCTGTGTAACCCAAAGGAGTTAGACTGTCTGACTGGTAAATAAGCATATAATCCCGAGTTCTTTTCAGATACTTGAGAATGTGCTTTACCGCAGTCCAGTGTCCTTGACCAGGGTTAGACTGATATCTCGCTACCATGCCAACCGCATAGCAAATATCAGGCCTCATGCACAACATAGCATACATAAGGCTTCCTACAGCCGAAGCATAAGGAACCTTAGCCATTTCCTCTATCTCCTTTTGCGTCTTTGGACACATATCCTTAGATAAAGGAACTCCATGCTGAAAAGGTAGCAACCCTTTCTTGGAGTTCTGCATGCTGAAACGAGCAATCACAGTATCAATGTAAGCAGCTTGAGATAGACACAACATTCTCTTCTTCCTGTCACGAATGACCTTGATTCCAAGAATGTACGATGCCTCACCCAAGTCCTTCATTTGAAACTGTTCTGAAAGCCATACCTTTACGTCTGACAAAATCTTGACATCGTTGCCGATGAGAATAATATCGTCTACGTATAGTACTAAGAATACCACTACGTTTCCGTTGCTCTTTTTGTATACACAACTCTCGTCTTGACATTGATCAAATCCATAGGACTTAATCACCTCATCAAAACGAATATTCCAAGACCTAGAAGCTTGTTTTAGTCCATAAAGAGACTTCTTTAGCTTCCATACTTGATGCTCTTGGCCTTTCTTCACATAACCCTCGGGTTGCTGCATATAGATGTCTTCATCCAAGTTTCCATTAAGGAAAGCTGTCTTGACATCCATTTGCCAAACCTCATAGTCCATGTGACTTGCTATGGATAAGAGAATCCGGATCGACTTAAGCATGGCTACTGGTAAGAAGGTCTCATCATAATCGATTCCCTCTTTCTGAGTGAAACCCTTCGCAACCAACCGTGCTTTGAAGGAAATAACCTTCCCGTCTGATACTCTCTTACGCCTATAGACCCATTTGCACCCGATGGCTCTCTTGCCTTCAGGAAGGTCCATAAGGTCGTATACCTCCATAGCATCTATAGATTCAATCTCAGAATCCATAGATTTTTGCTAAGAATCTGTATCTATGTCATGGATTGCCTCATTGTAGGTCCAGGGATCACTATCATGCTCTTCACTTGGGATTAAGTCCGAAGACTCTCCCACAAACATGAAACGATCGGGTTGACGAACAACCCTCCCACTGCGACGAGGCAACTCAGGTGTAAATACATCAGAGTCAACACGTTGTGCAGTCTCTTGTGGTATATCCTCTTTCACACTCGGTATGCCATTGTCTTCCCTCAACTCTTTGAGAATAATCTCACTCTTGGACTTATGCTCACTCATATAGTCTTCCTCTAAAAATCGGGCATTGGTGCTCACCACCACCCTCTGATCTTTATGACCATAAAAGTAACCACCTCTCGTTCCCTTTGGGTACCCTACAAACAGCCTTACTTCCGTTCTAGGTGCCAACTTATCAGCTTCCTTATCCAACACATGCGCTGGGCAGCGCCAAATCCGAATGTGGTTTAAACTGGGCTTGCGCCTGGACCACAATTCTATTAGAGTTTTCGGAACTGATTTAGATGGCACAAAGTTAAGAAGGTACGCCGCCGTTTCCAAGGCATATCCCCAAAACGAGGTAGGTAATGAAGCATAGCTCATCATCGATCTCACCATTTCCAACAGAGTCCTATTCCTTCTTTTTGCTACGCCATTCTGTTGGGGAGTACCAGGCGCAGTCATCTGGGATATAATCCCATTCTCCAATAAGTATTGCCTAAATTCATTGCTGAGGTATTCGCCACCACGATCAGATCGCAGTGACTTGATACTTTTCCCTTGACGGTTCTCCGCTTCTGCCTTGAATTCTCTGAACTTGTCAAAGCATTCAGACTTGCGGCGCATCAAGTAAATATACCCATATCTTGAGTAATCGTCAATGAAAGTAACGAAATACTCAAAACCACCTCTAGCTTGAATAGACATAAGCCCACACAAATCAGAGTGAATCAATTCTAACACATCATTGGACCTATTCCCCTTGGCCTTATAGAAGTCATCTTGCCTTCCAAACAGGATTCGCAGATTGGAAATGGTTCAACTTGGAGAGAGTCCAAGAAGCCATTACCTACCAGCCTTTGGATCCTCCTTAGATTGACATGACCCAATCTTAGGTGCCAAAGATATGTCTGATTCGATTGAGAAGGTTCCTTTCTCTTGCTTAGTGATGAAGATGCATGAGCTTCAGTCACAGTATGATATGCACAAGCAATAGTATAAAGATTGTTAACCAACATGCCAGAACAGATAAAAGAGTTATTTCTCATAATAACAACATTGTCATTAAAAATATCCAAAACCAGTTTCGAAACTGAAATTAAATTCTTCCGAAAACTCGGCACGTACAAAACATTCTTTAACACTAAAACAAAATCAAAAAAAGATAAGTGCACATCTCCCACTGCGACCACTGCCACTCGTGCAGCGTTGCCCAAGATGATGGTAATCTCGCCCTCACTGAGCTGCCTTCTTTGCAGAAACCCCTGCAAAGTATAACAAACATGATCAGTGGCTCCTGTATCTACTACCCAAGAACTGGTAGAACAAGCCGCAAAGCATGTTTCGACAACTAAAGCAAGAGACGTACCAGAAACGTCCTTGAGGGGACAATCTGTCTTCCAATGTCCTGTCTTGTTGCACTTGAAGCACTTGCCTTTCGGTTTTACCACGCCACCAGAAGGCGCTACCGCTTTGCTCCCACTACTCCCACTACTCCCAGTGGTCCCACTGGTTCCACCACTCTTTTTCTGCACTTGCTTTTTCTTCTTCCCGCCTTTTGACGAAGAAGGACCAACTTGTACAGAAACATGAGCCTGTGGTCCCCTTCCCATAAGACCCTCCGCTGCAACCAAGTCCGTAAGAAGCTCGGCTAGAGTATAGCCCTTCTTATTCATGATTGCATTCAGGCGGAAGTTCTCATAGGACTTCAGGAGCGAGTGCAGGATGATATCGATCTTGGCATCGCCATCGATATGTCCTCCGAGCACATCTATCTCATTCAGATATTCCATCATCTTGAGAACATGCTCTCGCACAGAAGCTCCCTCTGGCATGACGGAAGACATAATCTTCCTCATAGCCTCAAACCGAGCAGCCCTATCTTGCTCACCAAAGAGTTCCTTGAGGCTCAACATCATATCAGCAGCAGTAGACATGGTGTGATGCTGCTATTGCAAAACATTTGACATAGATGCCAAGATGTAGCAACAAGCCATCTCATCAGCCTTATGCCACTTCCGATGAGCCTCCCTTTCTTCTTCAGTAGATTGGGCGCTCAAAGGAGCAAGAGCAGGAGTGGTAAGCACAAATTTGTACTCATCAGCAACAAGGACAATATCCAGATTTCTCTTCCAGTCCAAATAATTTGGACTAGTAAGCTTGTTTTGATTGAGAATGACCATAAGCGGATTGAATGACATGATGAATAACTGAAATAAATAATTGCAAACACGTAAGCAATAATTCACATAAATATGAGGCATAAAATTATGGAAACCTTAAAAAAAAACCACTATTTAATGCAACCTTCGACAACTTAACGAACACACATGCAAGCCACGTTGGGTGGACGTTTACACATATATCAATTAAGCAGACACCCAGTCATTAATCTCAATTGCACGCCAACCTGTCCTTATGGCGAATGAAATTAATAGTCGAAATTTTAACACTGGCCATGTGAATGAAAACAGGGACTCCGTTGGGGAGTTATATTAAAATTCACATCTAAGTGATGACCAATATTTAACCCCAAGAACAGTCATCCACAATTGATGAACTTACCGATGGGGAAGGCACATCGCATGTAAATAAATTTCTATGGTTATCTCGAAATAATCTTTACCGGTGAGCTTATGAATGACACTATCCGTTAGGGAGGAGACCTCATGAGTCACGCGTATATCACTCACTTCACCTAAAGATTAATTCATTTGATTAGAAGTCTTATCTAGTAAGCTCGTGAATGCCGCATCCGTTAGGGGGAGACTCCTAAGGTCCCACGAGCGACAAACACCTTTCTTAAAGACCAATTGTGGAGGCCCAATGAATTAATTAAAATTCACATTAAACTCACTTAGTCATTTTGCTTGAAGGTTTTTAACAGCATGCAACAAGAAATAATAAAATTTCTATCATGCTCCTAACACGTAAATCACATAAATCCTAGCATGCTCCTAGAATTCAAAACAAAAGCAATAACAGCTTCCTATGAATTAAAAGCACCTATTTACATGATTTCTAGCTTGGCAGAAAAGCGATTTAAATCAGCTAGACACATAATCAAATAAACAAGTTCTAGCAGAAATTAAATCGGCATCCACAAAGCGATAAAATGCAAAAATTAAAACACATCTATCGCAGCCCCTTAAAACAAACCACTAATAGCCTATCAAAACTATTACATGATTCAGCAAGGTCGTGGATGAACACTCGAATCGGCATCTCACGCAAAATTTGCCTTTCACGCGTTATCGACACCTACCGACGGAAAAGGGCCGAAAACTTCATCTAAACGATTGAATTTGACCCCGCCACAGGATGTCACGGCGAAGCAGTGACATGTGTAGATCTCGCTCTCCCGTTTCTGAAATGGTATTATGGGCTGAAATCGGACACCTGTAGCAAAAGTTATGGCCAAAACAGTTTCCGCCGACAAAACCGACCCCGGTGAATGCTGAAACCCTAGCCGCCGCCTCCAGATTGATCATCTTCATCTCGTTCGACTTTGAACATAAAATTACAGCAAAATCGAAAAACAACAGCCCTACTACAATCTACGAAATCGCCTATACTACCCACACTTATTATCTGGTGGGAAAAACGATTACAACAATACACAAAAGGGCTGCGATAGACACCATCCAGAAGACAAAACGAAATAAATTCATCCACAACATAAACATGACTGAAAACGAATATACGAAATCAACTACATGTTTCAGGCAGAGCCAATAATCTACGAAAACCGAGTCTCTGATACCAATTGCTGAAACACGCCGACGAGGCGGTCCTCCCCACGGATCGATATCGGATACCAAACATGTACATACATGATTTCGAATAAACCTAAGCATGCTTCTAAAGGAAGAACAGAGATATACCTTTCTTTAAGGCTTTGATTCGATCTGAGCGATCTTCTAGTCTGTGTCCCGACCACGCTTGGACGCCGGATGGACGACGATCCTCCAAAACGTTTGAAAGAAGCGGCCTGCCCTTGTCTTTCTCGAACCCTTCTCGTTACTCTCTCCACGATGGTGGCTGGAGTGTCTCACGAATTGCTAGGGTTTGAAACATGGGAGGTCCTCTTTCTTTTTATAGAGGTCCTTGGGCCAGACTAGGGATCTCTTAGAAGGTATAGGGTTTGGGCTCCTTACAGGCCCAAATTCATATGTTCAGCCCAGAACACAATTTGGCCCGTAAATATTAATTCATTCCACTAGAGAATTAATATTGCACTCCCGTCCTATCCCAAAATGAATCAGGGCTTCTATTAGACTCGATATAATTCTCCGTGTTTAAGATATCGCACGTCCATTAATTATTAAAGCTTCTGACTGCTTTAATTAATTAATATCTTTTATTCCTTAAGTAGTACCACTCAACCTTATTATCGTATGGATTAAATCCACATGCAGGGTTTATACGATAATCCTTATGAGTTCCTTAAGGGGACGTCATCAACCTGGATGTCCAGGACACAGTGCCCTAATGCCAATAAATAGATATCATGCAGATAATGTTGTTACCCAAGATACGGAGCATATTGAACCAATACTTGGTCCTCACCCATGGTAAGTCAAAGTAACATACAAATATCTCATATATCTAATTACCACAGTTAGGGTTAAGAATTAGTAGAGTCACCGAGACCTAGGTTCTTCATTATAGTCAGAATAGAAGAACATGTCTCAACTGTGATCCATTCAATGCGACGCAGTACACTAGTATAAACTAATAGCCAAGACAAGCTATATCCAGTTTATACTACAACCTAAACCGATAGTTATGTCCACAACTATCTCAGTTGTGAATACCATTTATATCTTATAAGGAACCGACAATGTAATCTTCTGTGTGACTACTAACACACTAAATTGTCTACAATATAAGATAATTGGACGTACAAGCAATCATAAGGAATGAAACAATGTGAAAACATTTATTTCAGTCAAATGGGAAATCGAATAAATACATTCCAAAATCTCACATAAAAGTTTGCTTTACTGTATACCCCAACAGCAACAAATAGAATCAGAATATCCATGCAACACATCCAAATTTTCAAAGGTCCTCACATGCCTCGACGGGTCAGACGACCCATCATACACCAAGTTGGTCTCCTTGAAATTATTTGGCAGAGGAGCAGCAAGAATCTCCCTCGAAAAGGGATGTCCTCGAGCTCTCCTCTCCGGCCTTCCCTCCACCATGTCCTGTAACTGGCGCAATTGCTCTGCCATCCTCTCCATGGCTCGATCTCTCCCAACTCCTCCATCTCCATAACTGGACACATCCTCGTCTTGGCTTCCTACCACTGTGGTCGGCGCAGTGGTGGCGTGAGACGTGTGACTCGTGACCTGCTGCACCGTCTGCACCGCCGCGGCCTCCACCATCCTCTGCATCTCCTCCCGGGTCATCTTCACCATTTGTTGGTCGGGAGCTTGTACAACTGTCTGGGATGGCGCTCTTCCTTGCACCACCACTCCTCCTTGCACCACTGCTGGATTCGGGGGCGGCGGCGGTGGCATCGCCGCCGCAGCTGCTGCACGAGCTTCTTAGGCACGACTGGAGCCAGCGTCTCCTCCGGGGATCGCCGTCGACACTCCCACACCTTGAAGAACGAGTGTAGGAGTGACCGGCGTCTGTGAGGGGCCAGAGAAACCCAGAGGAGGGCCTTGTCCAATCGGCCTAGTCGTCATCAAAGCGTCATCGAACGTCGACTGCAAGTTGGTTCTGGGAATTCCGTCTGCCATAGCTGAGCTTCAAACATAACCTTTTCGAACAAAATCCCCACAGACGGCGCCAATAATGCAGGTGTGAGCGTCCTTGTCCGGTTCGGAACAGATCGAGCTTTGTCCTTGCCAGTAGAACGCCAAAAACATACAAATAACTCTCACACCAGGGGTTGTGTCCGGTGAAGAGCCTTCGATGCTTAAGTCAGTATGTGTGAATGAGTATACTGGAAATGAGGAATGAATAGAATGTGTTAAGAGAAAAAGGCTCACCCCCTTTATATAGGGGTGAGATACCTGCCCTAATAGTTGCCCGGATAAGGTGAGCTGGCTGCCCAAGCTGCCTGTCCATACTCTGACACACCGCACGCATGTCAGAGGTTGCGCGGGGCGTTGGGAGCTGTCAGAGGTGGTTATCAAAATCCACCAATGTGTTCCCGACACGTGTCCCCCCTGCACATGGGGTAAATATTCTTCTGAGATTCGGTTAGAGGCTCTCACACGCACATGTGACTAGGCCAATTGTTGGGTCCTCAAAGTGATCGACCTGATGAGGTCGAGTAGGTTGCCCGATCTCTAATCTGGTCGAGCAATAGGTTGATCGAATACCTGCCTGGTCGGTTATCTGAACGATCGATCTTCCCGCCTCTTGGCTTGGCTTCCTCCTGGTTTGATCTTCTCGACCGACTGAATAAACCGGTTTAGCCTTGTGTATATAATATCCCATATCAAGATTTATGTTCGTGAGATTTTTGTGGGTATTTGGTAACCGAGTTA